CGCGCCTTCGTCGAAGTTTTCTACGCCTGCGGGGAGGCTTCGACAACTGCTCAGAAGGCCGGCGGCCTTCCGAGCCTCCTGCTGAAGCCCGTCTTCCCGGACTTCCCCCCGCGCTCGCCGCAGGCGCGCTGTGGTGCTCACAAGTGGCAATGTGGTGTTCGCCGGCTACTGTTTCAATACTTGCGCTTCGACGTCGGCGGCGCTGGCGCTGGCTGACTCCAGCCTGCGGCCAGCTACGAAAACATCCTGCTGCAAAAGTGGCCAGCTGTTGCTTCCAAGAGCCCCCTCCTCATTCCCCTCCTCCTCTCCTGCTCCTCCAGCTGTTCCTCTTGCGCGTTCTCTTCGTCGTCCTCCTCCTGCTCATCCTCAGTGTCTCATCGTCCTCGTGGTCCTCGTCAACGTGCTCTTCGTCGTCAGCCTTGCCGTCGCCTTCTTTGTCGTCCTCGTTGTCATGGTCCTCGTCGTCATCGTCGTCCTCGCTCTCGTCCTCCTCCTCCTCCTCCTCCTCCTCCTCCTCCTTCCCCCCTCCTCCTCATCGTCTCCTCCCCATCGTCCTCCTTGGTCTCCTCCTCTTCGTCCCCCTCCTCCCTGTCGTCCTCCTCGTCCTCGTCTTCCTTTACTCCTTCTCGTCTCCTCCTCCTCCTAATTCTCATTCTCTTCCTATTTCTCCTCGTCGTATGTGTATTCCTCATCGCTCTCCTCCCCCGCGTCCTCCTTGTACCCTCGTAGTCAATCCCTTTTTCATTCTGAGTACCTCCTCCCTGTCGCACCCCGAAGCCAGTCGGAAGGGCGGGCCCAGCGTTTGGCTTGAGACTTCTTTGCGATGTATGGGCCTCAAGCTTTAAACAGTGACAACGGCTTCACAAATGGACTTCAGGTCGCTTCCAAAATGTGGATCTCGCCTCAGCGCTGCGCACATTCGTGTCAACAAATTGCCAGAGCTTCACACATTCAGGGCGGGAGGTTCTCTAAATGTCGCCTTAGCGCCGCACGCATTCGTTTGCAAACTGTGCAAAGATTTCACGGACGGACGGCGATTCTTTTTCAACATGTGGCTCTCGTCTTAGCGCCGCGCACATTCGCTTAACATATAGCATTTCAATGGTTCCCATGGTTACCGTACCAGACATGGCATGTTAGAACGATTCACAAGTGTCAGGACGCACCAGTTACGTGGTTTCGCGGTGGTGGAGTCCCAGGAATGGCGTTCTGGCGAGATTCAGGATCTTCCAGACGCAACAGTCAGGTTGACTCGTGGCGTTAAGGATAATCAAGCGGTAATTCTCCAACGTGGAACTCCCCTCAGTGGAAATGAATATTTGTAGGGGCCTTGAAGAGGGAGCTTGGAGGGAGGGTCTATTGCAATATCGTTAATGAGTCTTGGGTTTACACTGGTCCTCCTCCTCCTCCGTCTCCCCTCGCAGGCTACTGCCGCACTTGTAGGATCTGGCAGGCTCTTGCACACGCCTGTGGCGCTCGCAGGCTATTGCGGTCGTGGCAGGGTCACGCTTCCCTCGCCATATTGTCGTCACCAGCGCACTGTGGTGCTCACAGGCACCCTGTGGTGCTCGCAGGCAATTAGTGCGATCACAAGAAATTCATTGCGCTCAGAGGCAGATTGCGGGGTTCGCAGGCTGCTGTGGTACGCAAAGGGTCCATCATACTGGTGCGCATGCTTGTGAGACTTGTGTCATCGCAGGCATTAGAGGTCAGTCCTGGCAGGTTGCCCCACTCCTCGCGCTAACATGGTGACGACAAGGCCTGGCACGCTGCTACGCACGCTGTCGCACGCATGGCTGTTGTGCACCTGGCAGTATGTGTTTCCCCTATCCTCGCCGTCCATTGGTCACAATCACGCGTCGTGCTCGTGAGGCATACGGTGTTGCGCTCGGGCGTCACGTCCGAGCCTTGCTATACCAGGCTCAGGTGCGAGTGCTGCGGTGGTGCTGGGGGCAGACTGAGCGGGGAGAATGCGGGAAGGAGCGTCCCGCTTTGCCCCCCTCCCCCGACCAAAACGCGACCTCGTCGTCGGCGACGTCGCGCTGCAGAGTCCGCCAGGGGGGAGGAAAGTGCCGTGGGATTCGGGGCGCACGCGACGGGGGCCAGCGCTAACAGGGTCAGCCCACCCCCTCTGGCTGATCCAGATTTGGGAACCACGTGGGGCAGATGGTGCAGGCCTGACGGCCGGTGCCGCCGACCCTGAAAGACATCGACGACGACCAGGAGGGGGAGGAGGAGGAGAAGAAGGAGGAGGATGAGAAGGAGGCGGAGCTAAGGAGGAGGAGGAGGAGGAAAAGGAGGAGGAGGAGGAGGAGGACAAGGACTCCCCCCTGGGACGTGGGGCAGAGTTCCCTGTTCCGCCCGAGCTGCGCGACGGAGCCCTGGCCGACCCGGGCGCTTCCCTGGCGGGGCCCCCTGGCCGTGACCCGAGGGACACGGGGCGGCTTGTCGCGGCTGCACCGCGCGGAACGTACAGTGGAGACCCATGCCAGGAAACGCCCTCCTCCTCCTCCTCCTCCTCCCTCCCTCCTCCTCCTCCTCCTGCTCCTGCTCCTGCCTCCTCTTCTCCTCCCTTCTCCCTCCTCCTTCTCCTCCCTCTCCTCCTCCTGCCTCCTTTTCTCCTCCCTTTCCCTCCCCTCCTCCTCCTCCTCCTCCTCCTCCTCCGCCTCCTCCTCCTCCCCTCCTCCTCCTCCTCTCCTCCTCCTCCTCCTCCTCCCTCCTCCTCCTCCTCCTGCCTCCTCTTCTCCTCCCTTCCTCCTTCTCCTCCTTCTCCTCCTGCCTCCTTTTCTCCTCCCTTCTCCCTCCTCCCTCCTCCTCCTCCTCCTCCTCCTCCTCCTCCTCCTCCTCCTCCTCCTCCTCCTCCTCCTCCTCCTCCTCCTCCTCCTCCTCCGCCTCCTCCGCTCCTCCTCCTCCTCCTCCTCCTCCTCCTCCTCCTCCTCCTCCTCCTCCTCCTCCTCCTCCTCCTCCTCCTCCTCCTCCTCCTCCTCCTCCTCCTCCCCACCCTCACAGTGAACGGTGTGAGCACAGTGGAGGCCCATGCCAAGGAACACCCTGCTTGCCTCCAGGGTGCCCTGGGTCTCTTGGTCTCGATGGCTCCGCCATGGACGGCGCGACGCTCCCGCACCAAAAGCCAGTGGACGCCCTGGGGTCTCGGGGCGGGGCTTCTTGTGGAGGGCGATCCGTGGGCTGGGCCCCCACCGTGTCCATGCGGCGCCCGCCTGTCCGCGGGGTCGCGCCCTGGAAACCCAAAACCGTGGTGGCGTGGATGTGGGCATGCTCTCTCTCTCTCTCTCTCTCTCTCTCTCCTTGTCCTCCTCCTTTTCATCCTTCTTTTCCTCCTCCTCCTCCTCCCTCCTTAGCCCCGCTTCCTTCTCATCCTCCTCCTTCTTCTCCTCCTCCCCCTCCTGGTCGTCGTCGATGTCTCTCTCGCTCTCCCTCTCTCTCTCTCTCTCTCTCTCTCTCTCTCTCTCTCTCTGCGCGAGTCGGCGGCGAGCCCAGGGGGGGGAGGCGAGAGGGGGCGGGCCTTCTCAGAAGGCCGCGGGGCACCTCAGAAGCCTTCCGGCCTCCTGAGAAGCCGCCTCTGTCTTTCAAGCAGTGCCTATACAGGGCTGCCAAGCAATGTTCTAAACACTTTCTGTGGCTTCCACCAAATGTCCTCAGAACATGTATGGCTGGGACCGGCTTGGTTTAACTCATCGGGTTTAGGTTCTAAGAATATTGCTTCTGTTCTTGGAGCATTTTGGGGTTCTAAGAGCATGTCGTGGTAGGCCTATAGGAATGCCGGGACGGTCGGTCCCTGCTCAAGTCTTCGGAGGAGGCCCTGGACACTGCTCGGAAGGCGCTGGGGCCTCTGAGAAGCCCCGCCGCCTTCCGAGAGGGCCTGCCCTCCCTCAGCTTCCCCGGGGGCCCACCGCCGAGATCTGGGGGCACAGACAGCCCTGAGATCCGACGCAGCGGAAAAAATTGCAACATCGTGAAAAATCACGCCCTCCTCCTCCTCCTCCTCCTCCTCCTCCTCCTCCTCCTCCTCCTCCTCCTCCTCCTAGGGGCCCCTCCCTCCTCCTCTTCCTCGACCCCTGCCCCCTCCTCCACCTAGGACACCCTCCTCCCCTCCTCCTGCTCCTCCTGCTCCTCCTCCTCCTCTCCTCCTCCTCCTCCTCCTCCTCCTCCTCCTCCTCCTCCTCCTCCTCCTCCTCCTCCTCCTCCTCCTCCTCCCCTTCCCGCGTCCGTTGTCGAGCCAGATCGACCCGGGAGGGCCCCGGGGCCGAAAGAAAAGGAGGCGAAGACGCCGGGCCCGCAGACATGCGAGGCGCCAGGATAGCTCAGGGAGGCGCTCCTCCCCCTCCGGAGACGTGCGCAGGCTCGCCACGCTGCCCTGCCGCCTGCCTTGTTTCGATTTTCCCCTGGGCTCGCCGCCGAGATCTGGGGGGCACCACGCCCAGCCCGAGGAAGCTGAGGCGCCAGGATATCTCAGTGAGGCTCTCCTCCTCCCGGAAGCAGGCGAAGACGCCCAGCCCGACGAAGGTGAGGCGCCAAGACCTCTCGGGGGCTCCCCTCCTCCCGAAAGCAGGCGAACACGCCCAGCCCGAAGAAGTTGAGGCGCCAGGATATCTCAGGGAGGCCCCCCTCCTCCCGAAGTTGTGCGCAGGCTCGCCGCCCGTGGTAAGTCGGGCCTGTCCCTCTACAGGAGGAGTGTTCAGAGATAGTCCAAGAACAGCCTGGGGACGACCTTTCTACTACTTTGGAGCATTTTTGGAATATGTGTTTTTTGGGGGGCGATCTTTTTTTTATTTTGGGACAATTGTTCATCTGTCGTCCAAAATCGGCCTGCAGGGGGACAGGCCCCGCCTCACGCTCGTGAGAGACAGGGCGGCCGCCTCGGGCAGGGGCCTCTCGCGGCTGCGCTCGCTGCGGGGCGCGCCCGGCGCGGGCTCCGCCGAGCTGCGGTGGGCCAACGCCTGGACCGCGGACCTCCGGGAGGCCCCGCGCACCGCCGGCGCGGTGGAGGGGGCAGTGCGTGGCGGGGAGGGAGGCCCATAGGCCCTCTTCCGGTCAGGCCGGGTCGGCTTGTGCGCCACCAGCGCCGCCAGAAGCTGGAGGGGGGGAGGAGTGGGAGGAGGAGGAGGAGGAGGAGGAGGAGGAGGAGGAGGAGGAGAGGAGGAGGAGGAGGAAGGAGGAGGAGGAGGAGGGGAGAGGAGGAGGAGGAGGGGGGGAGGAGGAGGAGGAGGAGGAGGAGGAGGGGGAGGGGAGGGGGGAGGAGGGAGGAGGAGGGAGGAGGAGGAGGGAGGAGGAGGAGGAGGAGGACCCCCTCCCCCTCCAATTTCTGGTGGTGGTGGTGGTGGAAACAAGTCCATCACATGCAGAAGCCACGGTGGGAGGTATTTCGCTATGTTCGGCCTCTCGGGGCCCTTGCTGGGCCTCGGGACCGCCAAAAAACGACTCAGGATGAAAGACCGGTCCCAGGGAAAGGGTCGAGATTTCTGGGGACCGAAGTTAAGAACAAATCATGACATCGGGGTTCGTGGGGGGACAGGCGTCGAGAGACGGAAAAAAGTACCCATACCGCCACCCCGTCCCTCGGTTTTGCCTTGCTGGGCTTCCTGGGCGGCCCTCGTCGCCACCGCTGGATTCGCATGGAAATCCTTTTTAGAACGCACCCCAGGAGAGGTCTGGGGAGTGGCGGTATCGGCACCTTTTGGTCACCCCGGGCACCGGACAGCTGAGCGACTCGACACCAGGCCGGTTACGCGGGCACTCGCGCGCAAGCCGCCTGCGCAGGGTGCAGTTCGATCCGCCTGGTCCGATTCGACGATAAGATCGGCCAGCCCGATCCCAAGCGATGCGGCCCGCTGCTTTCATGGTGCGGTCGCGCAGCCCGGCGCGGCCGGCCCGAGTCGATGGTGCCGATCTCATGCCGACGCGACCCAATCCGACGCGCATGTCGAGCCGATGCGATCTGGCGCCGTCCGTTTGGTTCGCGTCACACGGCTCTGCACTGGAGCGGCGGTCTTGGCCAGCACGGAGTCACGCAGCCCCGTTGGGTCAGGGGGCCAACACGGGTTCACACCAGCACTGTTGGGCTCTCCCTAGGGTTCCCCCCGAGGGCTCCCGAGAGGGGTCACACAGCGTGCCCGCCAAGAGGGGTGTGTGATTGCCGCGAGTTGGCAACGCTACAGAATGAACACGGATATTTCTCGATTCGATGCTGACTTGTCTTGCCCGCGCAAGGTCGCGCATGGGCGCCCTAATTTCCACGCGGCGTGCCCCGCCTTGCGGGAAGCGTAAGCCACCGCGTGTGGTTGTCACGCCCTCTCGTGTGAGGCCCCGCCCCTTTCTTTTTGTCGCCCAGCTGCTGCGATCGGAGGCTGACGGTGTTCCAGGCCTCCCAGATTGAGTCGGGGTAGATGGTGCCGCATCGCCGATGCATCATCGATACGGCGCGATTTGGAGCCCGACTTTCTTCAACCAGACGTTGCCGATGCATCGGCGAGGCGGTGCTATCGCCCCACCCTAATTATCTACTCTGGCCCTCTGCGGCGCGGAGGTTCGACCTCTAGAGGTTTGACGCTCTTCCCTCGTCTTGGGCCTCTGGGAGGGCCCTCGTGGCCGTGGCCATGGCTGGACGCAGCTCGAAGCCCAGGATGGGCCCTTGGAAGGGTCCAGGAGGGATCCAGGGACCTGCCTCAAGCGGATTCCGGTGGGGAGGCAGCGCGAGAAGGGTAGTTCTGAGAAGGCACCCTGCCTCCTCCGGGCCTGGTGATTCTCCAGGAAGCCTCCTTACAACCTCTTGGCGAAGCCCTCCTGCCTCGCTGTGGAATAAGCATCCCACAAGGTTTGGGACAGTTTTCGGCATCTGGGGGGCCCGCGCCGGGCCGCGGGACTGCCGACAAACCACGCAGGATGGAAAAATACGCCCGGGTGAAAGGGTCGAGACCTCTGGGGTTCCACGTGTGCGTGTGCGCGTGCTTGTGCGTGTGCGCATGCGTGTGCGTGTGCGTGTGCGTGTGCGTGTGCGTGTGCATGTGCGCGTGCGCGTGCGTGTGCGTGTGCGTGTGCGTGTGCATGTGCGTGTGCGTGTGCGTGTGCCTGTGCGTGTGCGTGTGGGAGTGTGTGTGTGTGTGGGTGTGTGGGTGTGTGGGTGTGTGGGTGTGTGAGTGTGTGAGTGTGTGAGTGTGTGAGTGTATGTGTGTGCGTGCGTGCGTGCGTGAGTGCGTGCGTGTGTGTGTGTGTGTTCTTTCGCCAGCGCAGTGACCCTGCCTAGCCGCCGGCGCAAAAGTGTCTGTGTGTGTCTGTGTTTCTGTGTGTGTGCTGTGTGTTTGTGTGTTTGTGTGTGTGTCTCTGTATCTCTTTGTGTATGTTAGTGTGTGCGTGTGTCCGCGTGTGTGTGTGTGTGCTTGTTTGTTGTTTGTGTTTGTGTGTGTTTGTGTGTGAGAGTGTGTGTGTGTGTGTCGGTGTGTGTCGGTGTGTGTCGGTGTGTGTGTGTGTCGGTGTGTGTGTGTGTGTGTGTGCGCCACGACATCGGGGCCTGGGAAATCCATTCCCCAGGCAATGCTCCGTTGTGCGCACCGGAGGGCATAGCCGGATGCGCATCATACACTTGTTGCATATGGCCTTCATCGTTGGCTCTGTTTATGTCAGCCATTGCTGTCCCTGGCTGGTGCCATCATCGATCATGCATAAGAATCGTGAGGCATGAACTCAATCGGAAACGTGTGGGAGAGTTGTCTCAAGCTCGCTATTCTGCAACAGTGGTCGCATCGCCATCAACCGAGGCAGCAAGGTACTCGTGCAGTTTGAGTTTACAGTGGCAGTCACAGTTGCGCACCATTTGTGTCCTTGGCGATCCCTCGCACTAGGGTGATCCAGGTCGACGTCGTGACGTTTTACGGCCGCCCTGGAGACGGCTTGATGGAGAAGGCTGCCGCAAAGTGCGAGGCCCGCAGCAAGTTGCATGGGGATAAGACGCTGTTGCCGCTGCTTCAGTCGCGTAATGTTGTGGGTAGTACGGCGTGTTTCCCGCGGGTAAACGATGCAACATCCGCGCTGGATTGTGACGTGAGAGTGGCGATGAGGATTGGGGAGTGGGAAAACACGCCCGTGGTACGCTTGACACCCCCAGTAGTCACCTCAGCGTGGGAGCAGGAGAAGGAGGGAGAGACAGAGATCATGAGGAGGAAAGAGGAGGAGAAGGACGAGTAGCAAGAGCGAGTTGAAGGGAGGAGGATGAGGCGGAGGAGGAGGAACACGAGGAAGGGAGGATAGAAAGGGGTATCGAGCGGGAAATCAGGTGGGACCGATTTGAGTGCAGAGGACGTGGAGGCCGTGGACAGCGCGAGTTCGGTGCCTGCAGGGCGTTCAATGGCGAAGGAATGCACGTACGAAGGAAATGGGGAGGTTCGGCGAGATTCGTCGATGTAATGAAAGACCTCAAAGCGTATCTCGACGCCCTCGCGGGCCCTTCACAGACACCCAGGCCGTCTGCGCCAGACTGGATACGACTGAAATGAGGGGGGAGGAGGGAGTGCAGGTGTGGCCCGTTTGCATGGCCTAGTATCTCCGGGTGCGACAGAAGGGGGGTTAGCCTACACGAAAAGACCCAGACCCCCCCTTCATAGTCGATGGAGAACTGATGAAGTGCCTCTTAGGTCATCTGAAGATCTTCCATGCAGGGCTGGACTACAGGAAGAGACCCGGACCCCCCTCCGTCAGACGCACACAAACCCGCACCTAGACGGCGCATTGGCACAGAAAGAATACGAACGCGCACATGCAGGAATTCATAATACGGAAAAACGTCGAAAGCGATTCTGCGTGCAGGGCGAGCAGGTGTGCAACCACCAGAAGCTTTGTGCCGGTGACCTGCTTCTCGGATATCTGCAAACGACGCGGGGACGGGGGAACCAGGAGGGGTGGAAGGAGACGGATCCGCGCCGACCTACAATGCACAACATTTCTCTAAGGCTTCATGCCACCTTGACTGGTTTTGCAAAAGCGCTTGTAATTCGTCCAGGCCGTTCCCTGCCGCTTCGAGGGCCGCTGCGTGCATGGAACTTGTCCGTCGCAGACGAGGGCGCCCTCGGGACCGTGAAAAATCCCACTTCCGGGGCGAGACAACACCATCTTGGCCATGATCAAACACCATAGATCTCGGTAGGCTGTTGGGGCCGTCGAGGGCAAGCTTGCCATATAACTTAAGCTGCCGTTCCAAGAAGGTTGCCGTCACACGCTGGACTCCTGCACGATCGCGAACTCCAGCGTTGCTCACTCGAGAGACGGAAGCAAGGGGAACTTTGAGTATTGACCGTAGGCATCTGGCCTGGAAGCTGTCGATCCTGGTTCTGTCCGCTTGCAAGAGCATGCACGATTCCAACCCGTACAGGAGTTTCGAAAAGACACATGAGTCGAGCACCCTCTGCTTCTGCTTTTTGCTGAGGTTAGCATGGCTCCAAACTCGGGCGAATTTCTGAAAGACTCCCTTGGATTCCCCCAGGCGCCGCGTAAGTTCTGCCCGGGACCTCCCATCGGTACGGATGAGCCCGCCCAGATATACAGCGTGATTTTTGCATGTGATTGCCTCGCCGTCTGGCCCATATATTGTCTCATCTGCCCGTACCTTCAGCAGCACCGTCTTCCCAGCATTCAACTCTAGACCGTACGTTTTGCTTACTTCTACTACCAAGTCCAACTGAGCTCGAAGTACATCAGGGTCCCGAGCAAAAAGCATGGTACCATCTGCGTAAAGGACATCCTTGGTAATCAGATATGGCTTAGCAGGCCTATGAGGAATAGCAATATCTAGGCGCACGTCGACACGTTGCAAGATAACGGACATGACGATGATGAACAAGTAGGGTGATAGATGGCAGCCTTGTGCAATACCAGCTGCTTGTGTTCTCTGTGACGTCGTCGTGCCCCCGTATTGCACCACAAACTGTCGCATCATATAAATGCCCCAGATCATGTCGACTATCGCCCGAGGGATTCGGAATTCACGAAGGGCATGTATGAGGCCTTCTGGATGTATACGGTCGAACGTTTTGCGCCAGTCCAAGCAAAAGGAGCAGCAGTTGTCCCTCCTTGTCTTCCAATGTTGCGTCAATAAGCCTGCGCGCCAAGAACAACGCATCACTGGTGCTGCGGTGAGCTCTGAAACCGTATTGGGATTCCCGCACTGCTTCGAGTGTCTTGTAACCCATTGTGAGCAAGGAGATCTCGGCCGATAGTTCGCCGGCTGGGACGTGTCACCTTTTCTTGAAAATGGTAACCACAGATGTTTCCCTCCACGCTTGCGGAATGTCCTTCGTCTCCCAGCATGTGCAACACAACGACGTCAATATGCTTAATGCCCCTTGGTCGCCGAGTGATGCTCGCCATAGCTCTGGTGGCACGCCGTCTGTACCCGGAGCACGTTGAGCACGCAAGTATCTTGTTGCCCTCTTCGCTCCTTCAATTGTGATGTGGCCGACTTCTACATGCAAATGGCCTTCTTGTATACCGTCTTCACCAAAATTGAAACCCTTCCTGGGGAGGGCGCCACTGGACCTGCTCAAGGTAATCTGCCACAGTGTCAGCCCTCTCGGAAGCGTCTACTAAACGACCCTCGGCGTCTCGGAGCCGTCCGCACCTAATGTGACGGTCCTTTGCTCGGTGATTTGATCATGTCCCAGCCGCTTTTCGAAATCCCCTCTGTGAGCCAGTGCTTCTTGTCTGCCTTCGCCGATTGTCGGAATAATTCATTCAGCTGGCCCTCACTCGTGCTACTCGATGCCGTTCCCCTCTGTCGCGCCTGGTTTCTCTCTTCAATCAAGTGGAGAGTGCGATATGATATCCAAGGGCGCAGGCGCGGTGTCTGCCGCGTTGGAATTCAGGCTGCAGCAGATTCCAACATACACCGTGATACTGCAGCGGCGTGTTCGTCGAGCGTGCCGCTCGCTGGCTGCTTGTGCCACTCCTCCAGAAAATGTGACATGGTTTTGTGTTTCGTGACCTCGTTCTGGAGCGACATCAAATCGTAATTCAGCTTCTCCTGTCTGCGGCACTTCTTCGGTATGTTGATGTTCAAATCGACGATCGTTACCAAGTGATGAGACTGGAGATGGTGATCGCGACAACTCCATACATCACAAATGCACGGCATCCCACTGCTTGCCACGACTACGTGGTCCAACTGCTCGAAATCTCCAGGTACGATGGCGCTGAACGGTTCGACGCCGATGTCGTGATACGTGACGGTATGCTCGTCCGGGTTTTCAAAGTACGTATTTGCTACAGGCTTCGAGCGTATGGCATAATTCAACCAGCAATTCACGGTTGGATGTGGGGCTCCACACAGAGAACGGATTACGGAAAACAGTTTCTATTATGACGTTTTCCTCGCCAGCGTATTGTTCCAGAAGCCCGGCGTTGAAATCTCCAAGTATAATGGTTGGCCCATGCTACCGGCATTTCTCAGCAAATATGCCAAGTCGGTGTCGTAGTCGCGTCGTAGATCGTAGTCGTGCGTATTTGTCCAAGCGTATGCAGTAATGAATGTAAGTGCACCACCCTCAATTCGAATGCGAAGACTTGCCATTCGACTGCTATGTTGTATGTAGCCCTTGATGGCGTGCTTCGCCAAAGGCAATACAATAAAACCCACTCCCGCATATTCTCGCGTCTCCTCCTCCTGCCCAGAGAGAATAACAAAGAATCCTTCAAAGTCGAAGACTGGTGAACCTCTGCAGTGTGTCTCTTGGAGACAAAACACTCCGATGTCCATGTCACGCATGTGCTTAGCTAATTCGTGCAATTTGTACGGCAGGTCCAGGTCAATGCTTTCGGCATTCCACGTTACTATCCGGCCGCACGTGACCAGCGAACATGGGAAGGTCACCCTTTTTCCCACCCGATCCGTGGGGCTGCCAATGCACCGTTGCATTTCCTATTCCGACTGCTTGCCGCCCTTCTTATTTTTTCCATGTCTTTTCGTAGCCCGGCCCAGCAAATCGTTCGTCTTCGTGGTAAGATGGTGAACTTCAGGATTGTTGGTCAATTCGTTCCAATCCTTCCATACACCTTCCTAGGATATCTGCAGCGTGCTGTTTGCGACCTGTACTTTCACGACGGCTTTTTTTTGTAACGGTGATGGCATAGTTGACGGTATCCACACGTACCTTTGCTCGACTGTATCCCCAATCCAGGACTTGCTTCCGTAGCCCGAAGAGAAAGTTTTGTGGAACTTGCTGCTCGAGAGGTTTGTCGTCATTCGTCCAGATGGTGCTCCCATTGTGTGTAAGCTGCGCCTTGCCAACAACGTTGACAAATTTATCCCAGGTATGTTTGTTATTCGAATTAATGAAAAAGATGCTCGTGAAGTCGCCCTTCGTGAAGATGTCTACGTACTCTGGCGGCTTGATAAATGCAAACTGCTGCTTCAGGAAAGCAACGGCGTCCTCCAAATGTGCAAAATCACCCAGTCCTCCGATCCACGTGTTGGTTCGTGGTGAGTTCCGTAACTTGTCGCTGGAGCACGTTGGTTTTCATCTCCATGAGGCTGTCCTTGCTTCGCGCAGACCCTGTGTCGACGGATGCTGGGTGCGACCTGTGGGCTTCGAGAGCTGAGACCTTGTCAGTAATCTCGTCGATGGCCGAACCGAGGGGCTGCATTGCGTCCCGTAGGTCTTGTTGAGAAACTCCGTGCTGCTTGATGGCCCGGATGTCTTTGTATATAGGTTGTAGTTGTTCGCGTAGTATGTGAGTGAATTGTCCAACGGTTAATCCGTTCATCTCCCCGACGATGGAGAACAGCGGCATTTCTACGGTCTTTTCTCTTCCTTTACATTCGGGTTGAGTGCCGTCGGCGTCTTGTTGGCGCGCTGGGTCTTGATGCTGCACTTCGCTGGTGATGCCCACGTCGTCCAACCTGTCCATATCCTGCAACGGGCTGTGGCTCCGATGCTGCTTTACCCTCCCCCAGTCAGACGCGGCGAAGATGGAGAAGCAAATTATGATTGAAGCGTATATTTGAAGAGCTGACCGGGGTGCCTGGTGCGCATGTCTTCCCACCACCAGAAGAAGACATCATCTTTGTAGAATCGCAGTGTAAGAAGAACCTAGGAGTACGCAGAAGGAGTGCGCTTCAGACTGGGAGCAGTGGGCGCGCAAAGACATAATCGCCGCCGCGACTTGAGCCCCTCCGTCAGAGCTGAGGAAAAGAACGTATGACGCGCCTCCTAGGCATCCGAATATCTTTTCAGGGGCGGCTGAAGATCTTCTCAGGGGGCTGAAGAGCTCCTTCAGGAGGCTGAAGAGCTTCTGAAGGCCTCTGGGGGTCAAGGCGTTCTGCATGTTCTCAATTTTGTTTGGTCACTGCCGGGCCTCCGGGGACGGCGACGACGACGACGACGACGACGACGACGACGACGACGACGACGACGACGTCGCAGCACGGTAACCAGTGAGTTCAAGAATAGGCACGCAGTGGCAGCAGGGGTCGATATCCTGGAGCCTCCAGCGTACGCGCGCGCGCCCCGATCCCCTGAGCGTCGGGCTGGACTCCAGGGGGGATCGGGAGAGGGGGGGGGAGGCAGTTTCCTCGACACATCGGCGCCTCTGGCGCTGGGAGGCGCAGGGGAAGTCGGCTACGTGAGCTAACTCGCTGCCTCCACCCCTTGCTGAACCCTGAGGCCCCCCTTTCGTCCGACCCGAGAGTGACGGAGACGGGATGTAACGAAACGTCGACCGAGGAAGAGGTGGCCCAAGACGACGACCATCTCCCTCCAGGCCGAGCTGCCGGCGCATGCCGCCGTGGTCAGCCACCACTTCCCCATGCCGGGCTGGGAGCGGCTCTTGGTGCAGGATCCGGGTGCCACGGGCAGATCACGGTGACTGGCTCTTCCAAGCGTGGGTTTTTGGAGTCGCCTCGTGCCTCAGGGCCATCAAGCATCGACCCCGCACGAAACACCAGGGGCGCTCCTGGGCATCGCTCGCACGTGCGCATTTTTTCTAAACGAGGACCATCGGAGAGCATCTTGGATCATCTTGCGAGAAGATTGAGGAGGAGGAGCAAGAGGAAGGCAGGGAGGAGGAAGAGGAGGAGGAGGAGGAGGAGGAGGAGGAGGAGAGGAAGAGGAGGAAGAGCAGGAAGAGGAGGAAGAGGAGGAGGAGGAGGAGGAGGAGGAGGAGGAGGAGGAGGAGAGGAGGAGGAGAGGAGAGGAGGAGGAGGAGGAGGAGGAGGAGGAGAGGAGGGGAGGAGGAGGAGGAGGAGAGGAGGAGGAGGAGGAGGAGGAGGAGGGAGGAGGAGGAGGAGGAGGAGGAGGAGGAGGAGGGAGGAGAGGAGGAGGAGGAGAGGAGAGGAGGAGGGAGGAGGAGGAGGAGGGAGGAGGAGGAGGAGGAGGAGGAGGGGAGGAGGAGAGGAGGAGGAGGAGGAGGAGGAGGAGGAGGAGGAGGAGGAGAGGAGGAGGAGGAGGAGGAGGAGGAGGAGGAGGAGGAGGAGGAGGGAGGAGGAGGAGGAGGAGGAGGAGGAGGAGGAGGAGGAGGAGGAGGAGGAGGAGGAGGAGGAGGAGGAGGGGGAGGAGGAGGAGGAGGAGGAGGAGGAGGGAGGAGGAGGAGGAGGAGGAGGGGAACGGGCGTCCGAGCGGTGGCGAGGCTCTGGAAGGGGGCCAGACTGTCGAGGGATCGCAGGAAAGTCGGTGCTTATTCCCCCCGGCGGCAGGTCGGCGGAGGCCGGCGGCAGTGGAACGGCGGCGGGCCCGCGAGCGGAAGCGGGTGGAAGGCCAGCGAATAGGAGGAGGGGGATGGGGAGGAGGAGGAGGTGAGGAGGCGGGGAGGAGGAGGAGGAGAGCAGGAGGAGGTGAGGGAGGCAGGAGGAGGAGGAGGAGGAGGAGGAGTGGAGGAGGAGGAGGAGGAGGAGGAGGAGGAGGAGGAGGGGGAGGGAGGAGAGGAGGAGGGAGGAGGAGGGAGAGGGGAGGAGGAGGAGGAGGAGGAGGAGGAGGAGGAAGGTTGGCGAACGTCGAAGATCGGGGCTCAAGAGACGGGGGTCCATGCAAACTCGAAGAAGAAAAAGCTACATAAACATAACTTTAGTCGCTCCGCGGGGATTTCTTGGATCCGCGCCTGGGCCCCCCCGGCGACGCCTCCAGCGCCGCCCCTGGCGCGTTCCGCGCGCCAGGGAGGGGGGTCCCCGGCGCGGATCCAAGAAATCCGCGCGAAGCGTCAACAAATTATGTTTATGTGTTTTTCTCTTCTTCCAGAAACGGGGGTTCAGCCAGAGCGCCAGATCTTGCAGGATCCTGCAGAGCCAGGGGCGCACTTGCCCGGGCATTCGCGCAGGATCCTGCAAGGCCCGACTGACCCAGGTTTGCATTGGCCCAGGTCAGTAGAGCCCCAAGACGGTGCGCCCGCCAAGAGACGGCAAGTATTGGTTCGAGATTTCCAGAGCCGGCCATCTTCGGACGGGGCCAGGACGAGGAGGAATCCGTTCCAGAGCGTTCTGGGGCGCTCTCGAAGCGTCTCGGAACGCTCCGAGAAGGCCGCGGCGCCCGATGCATCCCCCAGAGCCGCCCGACCTAAGAGGTTCTCGATGTATCCTCACCCGAACTTGTCCTCGTCCTAGGTTCATCCTGGGAAAGGTTTGGTTCAAGATCTCCAGGGCCGGCCATCTGGCCGCCGAGGAGTCGTCGAGAGGTCTGGGGGCCCGCTTCATGGAGGTGTCATGTTGTCGGATGCTTGGGGGTCCTCCGCCATCTGCCCATGCCGTTGGGAACGCACGGGGTTGTGCGCAGACAGCCCCCAGAGGCACTCCAGGCTGGCCTCAACAGGCCCTGGCGCTCGCCCGGGGGCCTGTTGAGGTCAGAGTGGGCTGCCGCTGGGGTGGCCTGCGCGCGAGCACAAGCCTTGCTATGAGCACATCGGCGTTCACGGTGTTTTTTCTCTGCGAAGGATTGCAAAAAAACCCTTGATTGCAAGGTTTTTTTGCAATCCTTCGTTCAAGGGAGGTTTTTTTTGCAATCCTAGGTTTTTTTGCAATCCTTCGAAGGATTGCAATCCAGGGTTTTTTTTTTTTTTGCAATCCTTCGTCACGGCTTAGATTTCCATGCGGCAATGCTCCTTTGTTGTTTGGGATGCGGGGAGAAGCGACGCAGTCTGGAGCAGACCCCAAGCCGTTTGTTTCTTCCTTGTCCCTCCTCCCCGTCCTCCGCCTCCTCAGCCCCGTTCTTCAGCAATTAAATACGGCTTTCCGACCGTCGTCTATGACGACCCCGTCCCCGACACGCACGTCGAGGCCCGTGCCCCCGCGGCCCGCCACAGGTGCGTTCGGCCCCGCTGCGTAGGCGGGTGGAGCGGACCCTGGGTACGCTGGGTTCCTCAACCTGTTGATGTGTTTCTGAGGTCTGTCCGCGAGCAGAAGGAGCGTGTGTCACCGTCGGTCCCAACATTTGCCCAAGCTCGGGTCGAAATAGGGCCCTCGAAGTTACGCCATCCTGAGCAAGTTGAGCAACTGAAAGAGGAAGAGAAGGATGGTGGACGCACACCCGCTGGCTGAGGTCAGTGTCCGTCTGTGCGTGGTGGCCCCAGGGTGGCGCATAAGTGCCATTCACGCCGCATGGTCCGCGAAATATGGTATGCGCCCCGCCGCCACCTCCGCCTCATCAGTCCCCGAGCGGCATTACATGGATGCGAGGGGAAACCACCACGCAATGTTGATGATGTAACAAAGAAGTATCCCATGCTGCCTCCTCCGCAGTGTTAATAAACACGCATTTGCTCTACATCCAGCGCTCGCTGAAAAGGTAAGGGATGAATTGGCATCCACGGTGGGCCCAAACATGTGTCCGAACGCGCATCAGTGATCGTAGTCAGACTCGACCGTATATGTTTGAGAGGCCTCCATCCACGATGTTGGCATGAACTGATTTGGCATGTGCGCGGCGCTTGAGCTAGAGCAATATTTCGAAAAGGAAACGACCTCTACTCATGTAAGTGATGCAATATTTCAGCTGAGGTATGCTAAAGTGTCTGAGGTGATGCAGTATGTCAGCCGAGAAATGGTGAAAAATGGTCGCCCTGGATCTGCGCAGCCGCTGCTAGTGTACAGCTGTATGACCACAGCACCATAAAGTACACGTCTCAGGCGATAAACACAATGAAAGCGACCCGATCGTGCAGCAGTTGGAAGATCAGACGTAAGACGAAAGTGCGCGGCGACAGGGCGATTGCAGCATGTTGAAAATGGCCCGCCAAACGACTCACCTCCGATGATTGATCCTGTTCATGTGTCTGGCAAATTGCCTTCCCTAGTGGCCTTCGGCTTGATACAGGTCTGGGCCGCGGACCAAATGGCTATTGGATATTCGTTGGGGCATCGTGGGAGCACCTCTCGGAGATTGGAGGCCTCTCGAGAGGGCCCATCGGGGCCTCTTTGGCGCTTCTTCGAGGCGTTGGGTGCATGTTAGGAGGTCTTGGGGGCCACAATTGGGGAGAGGCTCCCACGGTCCTTTCGCTTTCCCCTCTTTGGCCCCACCTGGGGTGCGCTTGGAAGCCCGTTGAGTCGTCCCGGGGCCGTCTCGGGGTTCTCTCGGGTGCCTCTCGGGCCGCGTTGCAGCGTCGGAAACCCGAACAGGCGAGAATGTTAGAATCTTCCCAACGCGCACGAGACACAAAACTCCGTCTCGACACTCTTCGGGCCTCGGTAAAAAAATCACCGGAGAAGCCCGGAGAGGCACGCGACACGCCTCAGGAAAGCCGTTTTGTGGGCTTCGGGGCCCGCAGAGCCTTGCACTCCTGAGCGCAGAATTCGAAGGAACGAAGGGACCTGAGGACACTCCGCTCAGGACTGGCTGGGTCACTCTCCGCGCTGCCCCGAGCCCCCGGCGGCGAGCGCAGATGCAGATGCAGATCACGGCCTACCTCCTCGGCATCGCGGTGTGTCAGGCCGCGGCCGAGCAGCGCGACGACTCGCGGGGCGCCCCGCCCACGGGTAGACCCCCAGATGCAGGCTGACGTGTAGCGCCCGGCTCTTGCTGGCACTGCGCGCGGCCGTGCCGCCGTGACCCGCTTGTTCTTGAGGGGCCACGGCCGGTCAGTTCAGTTCCATTATGCTGATCAGGGGAACGGCCGCCCGGACGCCTACCTCTTTCCATGCAGCGATCTTTCCACTCAGCGCCTCGCGGAACGGCGGTGGTTATGAATCTGGCACGTCCCAGGATAATTTCACTCGAACGCGCGTGGCCAGCAGGCTGGAGGGAGGGCACATGCAAGCCGAACGGGGGCAAACGAGGACGGTACGTCTTGGAACGCCCACTTGTGCTCCGCCCGTGCACGTACTGGGCATGTGGATGTCCAGGCTCGCATGTTCCGCGGAAGTTTCGGCGAAACGCCCGGCCCGCCCTACCGACACGTTTGTCTGGATGCAACTCCTGGGAGGTCAAATTCTGATTCAGCCCTGGTCCGAAATCCCGCTTAATCCGGCTTAATCCCGCTTAATCTGGCTTAATCCCGCTTAATCTCGCTTAATCCCGCTTAATCCCGCTTGATCCGAGGCCCACTCTGGCGTAACAGCCCCCCAATTGGGGCTTAATCCTCTTTAGTCCCTCCGACGAAAACCTCCCAGTGGTGCGACGCAGATCGCCATGAAGGAGAGCGGTCTTGAGGGTCCGTGGAGAGACAGACCCAGGACCCCCCTCCTCCATAGAGGCCTCTCAGATGGGGTCCGAGTAGATGGGGTCGGAAGATCGCGCCGCATCGCCAGTGCGTCGGCGATGCACTGGCGACGGCGGCGATGCATCGGGGAGGGGGAGGGGAGGGGGAGGGGGAGGGGAGGGGGAGGGGGAGGAGGAGGAGGAGGAGGAGGAGGAGGAGGAGGAGGAGGAAGAGGAGAAGGCCAGGCTCCACATCGAGTTGCATCGCCGATGCATCGGCGTGGCGGAGCGATCTCTCGACCCCATCTACTCGGACCCTATTTTTCGGCCCCTCTCCTTCGGGCCCCGCTTCCCTCGGGAGGGACAAGTATACACAGGCACGAGTAATCGTCGACCTCGGGGAAGATATTGCAAACATGGGCAGCTGAAGGGAAGACGACGATGAAGAATTTCAGGATCCTGGGAGCTGTGTCTCTATGTATCTGTGTGTTCCTGGGCCCCTCCATTCCCTCGCGCCACAGCTGCTCGCAGGGGAGGGAAGAACAGCCACCCTGACCCCCATCATCGGCGTTTACCCTGTCCTTTCGATTCCTTCCTTAGGTGCGTTTGCTAAACGGCTTCGCTTGTCGGAGTGCTTCTTATTAGGTTGGTCGTTTTGCTCCCTAGCTTCCCTCGTCCGCCACAGCTGCCTGCCGGGGGGGAGGGGGGCCAGAGGAGGAGGGCTCGTGCGGCAGCGAACGCGGGAGCCAGCGCAGAACGCGCCAGGACGTCGGAGGCATCAAGCTGTACGACCTGTCGAGGCGCAGCAGCTCCAGGCTTGCCCGGCATCGGGGGGGGGGGGGGGGGCAAAGGTACCCCAGAACATCTTCCTCCCTGTGTTTTGTCCCCTGGGCTGAGCCGCAGTCGCACGCAGGCGTGAGGCGGCAGACGAGCCGCGGCGCGGCGCGCACGGCGGCCCGCGCGCACCCTGCTGGCAACGAAACTGACAGGTAGCAGGCGCACGGCAAGTAGAGGGATGGCGAGAGGATGAGGCGGACACACAAGCTCAGAGCCCCGAATCATCAGGGGTAACTCGGGTCAGGGATAACTCGGGTTCGTTTTTCGGGAATCCGAACCCGAGTTACCCCGGACCCGAGTTACCCCGGATAATTCGGGCGTCCAGGGCCCCGAATCATCAGGGGTAACTCGGGTCAGGGCTAACTCGGGTTCGTTTTTCGGGAATCCAAACCCGAGTTACCTCGGACCCGAGTTACCCCGGATAACTCGGGCGCCCAACAAGCAACAATACAAAGGAATGGTGGTGATCAAAGAGAATCGCCGCCACGCGCGCCGCCAGCAAGAGGCAGGTTCCGAGCTGCAGCAGGCGAGAGAGAGCGGCCAGATCACAAGAGCGCGAGCGCCCAGAGAGACACATGGGGGACGGATGGGAGTTGGGCGAGAGTGAAAGGCTAGCAGCACAGCTTGACCTGCACTTGCGGAAGCTCAACATCAGGCCGCAGCGGCAGGTGAGTCAGATGCCAAACCCTCGCCGTTACCACTCCCATCGCCAGTATGGGAGATATCCGCTTCCTTGACTTGAATGTGGAATCCACTGTGCATGCCGATCCACGCAGAGAAGCTGTCCTTGTCGAAATCCGTAAGCCCCAGGGGCAGGGTACGACCAACCGATCATTGGGTGCAGTACGCCCTATCAGCCCTCGGGGTATGTGAGCCCCAACCTCCAGCCTGACCGTCGGAGGCCATACCGGTTTGACGGGAGTGGCCCGCCCTCCCGTGTGCCTCATCCTTTCAAGTCTTTCTCCTCGGGCAGGTCGGCGAGCGCTGCGACAAACCTTTACTCGGTTGTACCCCTGGTACGCTCCTGCTTCACATCGTCTGGTCTCGATTGCACTGCCTCTTCCAAGTCCAGCATCGTACTGTGTCGGAGCAGCCAATTAATCCAAGTTTTGGCCACCTTGCCCACGTGCCTGATTAGCAAAGATGTGCTCCAGAATAGAGCGCCGCAATTTCATCTTGGAGCCCCACGCAAGTCTCTGTGCATTGTCCCCCCGCAATGTCAGCGCCTCCGCGCCATCTCGAGGATGAGCGTCTGTCTGGCCGTTCTCGTAGCAAATGAAGCGTTCGGGTCCGATTGGCACCGCAGGTACATGAATGATCACCTCCCCCAGCCGTTTCTCCCAAGCAGCCCGATGCCATCGGCCAAGCTCACTGCGGCCCCCTTGACGCAGGCGGGGGGCGCTGGGCCTCCTTGGCGACAAGAACCCCCGCACCCTGGTGGGACGGCCGCCGAGGTGCGATCCCCTTCCCAGGGGGGGTCGCCGGCTGCGCAGCCCACTGCGCGGGAGGGGGTCCCTCCCCGGCATCCCGCGGGATTGCCGTGCCTGGCGTCGTGCTCTCCCCGTCGTGCCGTCGCGCTCGCGGTCGTCGCCCGCCGCTGGTCCGGCGGGCCCGCAGGGCGGCGGCGGATGGACGGGCCTGGCCTTGGCCCGTGCCCGTTCTGCGTGGCGCCGCGTGCAGCGGGGGGCCTGAGGCTCAGGAGGGAAAGAAAACACACAGACAATATATATGGGAAGTGGGGGGGGGGGCGGGGAAAGACGAACACCCAGAACATGTTCGGAAATATGGGGGGATCCTGTTACATGTGTCTATCTATTGAATCGCCTCGCTCACTCCGCCGGCCCGTATTGTGCCCTGGCTGGCGATTTGCCAAAATCCCCCCCAAACCTAAGGAAAAACAATGATTTGTGCCTCTTGGGGCCCTCTTGGGAGTGCTCTTGAAAGCCTCGTGGGGCGCCTGGGGGCTATCTCGAGGGCCTTTGGGGGGCTCTTGGAGGCCTCTTGGGGGGAGGGAGGGTCGTCGATTGCGGCTCCCCCCTGGGAGGCCGCGATCCTCGTCACGGGTATCGAAAAATGGCCCTCCCCTGGAGTGCTCTGGTGGCTCCTCCCGGGACCTTGCCGGGGTACTTTTTGTCCTGAACCGTTTACCGGAGATCTTAGCATGCCTCTGGCCCGTTGGGCCGGCGAATCTGTGTGTCCCTGGGCCCCTTCACGGGCGTTCCAGCGGCGGCCTGCCCGGCTGCTTGTCAGCGCGCAGAGCGCGGCAGGGGAGCCGGCGTGCTTCCCGGCAGGGGGGCCGGCCGGCAGGAGGGAAAAAACACACAGACACAATTAATCGTCGATTCCCCCGAAAATATAGGAAGATATGGGAAGTGTGGTGGTGGGGGGAAACACGAACACCCAGAAAATGTTGGAACATATCGGGAATCGTGTTATTCGTGTCTATTTATTTAATCGCTTCGCTCATTCCGCCGCCCCGTATTGTGCCCTGGCTGGCGATCTGCCAAGATCTCCCCAAAACTTAAAGAAAAAACCATGAATGCTGCCTCATTGGGGCCCTCTTGGGGGTGCTCTTGAAAGCCTCGTGGGGCGTCTGGGGGCTATCTCGAGAGCCTTTTGGGGGCCTCCTGGGGCTTCAAAGGGGCCTCCTGGGGGCTTCTTAGGGCCGAGGGCTCGAAATGTTGTTTCGTGTTCCCCCTTCTGGGGCTTCTCTTAGAGCGTTCTTGGGGCCCTCTTGGGCCGTCTTGGAGGCCTTTTGGGCCGTCTTGGAACCCTCTTGGGCCGTCTTGGGGCCCTGTCGGAGGCCTCTCGGGCCTCTTAGGGCGATCTTGGAGGCCTCTTGGGCCATCTTGGGGCGTCGCGATGCCGAAAAGGTGGAGACGCCAAAATCTCCCCCAAACATAAGGGCAAGCAATACATTTTGCCTCTTGGGGCCCTCTTGGGGGTGCTCTTGAAAGCCTCGTGGGGCGTCAGGGGGCTATCTCGAGGGCCTTTGGGGGGCCTCCTGGGGCTTCAAAGGGGCCTCTTGGAGCCTCCTGGGGGCTTC